AAAGCATCGTCGTTTCATATGTATTGGGTGAGCTGACTATAACTCTTGAAGAAGTTTCTCAGCGTCTTCACCTTCCTAGTAGGGGTGATTTAGGCTTAATATCTATTTTGGTATCGTATGTTAACCTCAGGGTTCGTTTTTATCCCTCAACTTAAAAAAGGTTCATATTGATCCTTTAACTCTTCAAAACGTGTCATATTGGTCATTTTTTTCTAATTAGCAATGAAAAAACTAAAAAATTTGTCGCTAATATGACAAAAATAACTAAAATGATACGTTTTGAAGAGTTAAGGGACTTGTAGTGGTGAAAAGTTAAGACTAGGTCATTGATTGACTTAAATCACAAAATGAAAGTCGCCACCGCACTTTATTTTATCCAAAGGAAATGAGAAAAGAGGGAATAAAATCCAAAAAAGAAATAGAGATCATGGTAAAGGGGTTGGTTATGTAAATGGAATGTATTAGCACCCTAAATATCTATGGTACTCGGAAGGAACCTCTTTGAAAATTTGTGTGTTTGACTAAAAAGAAATATTTGCAAAATGAGGTTGTAGAGATGAAAAAAGAAGTGTTTTTTATAATTGTGATTTGTCAAATTGGGTCTACATAACAACAATGTGCAATATTGAAATCAAAACTTATGTAGTTCTGGTAAAAAAAGACCAAAATTTGAGGTTGTTTAATTTTAAAAGAATTTAAAAGTGAAAAGCCAAAGCGGCAAAATGGTTTGAATTTGTTTTGTATTTTTTAAGTATTGAAGAAATAAATCATATATTGATTAGGATTGATTGATGACTTGATTAAGAAAAGAGTTTTAAAAAAAGCATGAACCTAAGTCCAAGTTTATTATAAAAACGGTTCAAATTTGAAAACAAGAATCCTTTGAAAATGGGAGAAGGTTTTGAAAATTAAAGAAGATGGGAGGAGATGAAGAGACTATCCTAAAGCATAAAGTAAAAGCTAAAGTAGGAAAAGTATAACCAAATAAGAAGCCTAAACTTGACATAATGAAGTCAACATAGATCACTTAAGGTCTCAATAGCAGCACCTGCACACAGAAGATTTCCCAATACACAAACATAATAACAACAAGACAAAATAAGGTCCAAAGGTCCCAAGGTTTCAAAGTATCAAGGCTTATAATCCTAAGTCAAAAAGGTCCAAAACCTCAATATGCCAAGGATAGTAACTAATAGTCTAAGAAGAGCCTTAAGTCTTTTAATGTTCAATTTGATTATTAAGTGTCTAAACGAAGTTCACTTAAACAACTCTAAAATTGAACTTGTCTTGCTTCGAATATGGCCTAATTCTTCTTCCTTTTGGTTTGGTTAGCTCCACCAGATGATGGTGAAGCTGACTGAATGAAGCTTTTAGTGATTCAGGGTGAGAAAAAGAGAATTCGAATTATAATTCAAAGAGTTCAAATGAGATCTTGACATGGATCTTTTGGATATCCAAAGCTTGGTTTATGAGTGGAATAGGTTGCTCTATTTATAGGGAGTGTGATGGGATCTTCAAGTGTCTGAGATGATGAGGTTTTGAGTGAAATCACGCAAACCTTATAGCACATGAGAAGTGTGACATGCAGCTCATTAAAACTCACTCAAACCATGTGTTTTGATGCTTAAACTCGCTTAGACAATTTTTTAATCATGTTTAAATGAAATTCGTGCATCAATTTGGTGATTATATGGCACATTAAACAAATGCACTTATGATTGTACAAAAAACTTTGCAAGGCACCAACTCCAAAAAACTTCAATTGCAAGGCACCCTAATAATTAAATTAACTCAACAATTTAACAATTGTGACAGAATCACGTATGCAGCTTTCGATCCGTCAACCCCATACAAAGTGGTATTGTGTGTTGCATACCATCACTTCATTCACGTTTTATGTCGATTAAAAAATAGAGGAAAAGCATATCTTTAACGTTCTCAAATTGGTTTTGCCATGTTTCTGTTATAGAAAAGTAATGAAACACAAAAAGATGTTATATGAAAAAGTCGGAAGACAGATAATATGAAACACGTGTCATGCAATTGTACGCAGGCAGAAATCTGAAATTTCTGCAATCAAATAGCAAAACAGTAAATTTCAGACAAATCAAAAATGAAAGTAGATTTGTCATGTATGAATTGTTTGATTAACAGTTATTTATAGGATAGAAGAAGAAAAAAATAGGAACACATGGATAATCACATATATTTGACTCCATTTGCATCTCTGACTGAATTTGAAAAATTGAACATCGTAAGCACCAATAGTTTGAATAGGCCTACCGTACATTTATTGATTTTAGACTTTATAAATACCAAATTTGAGAAACAAAACAAGTAAATATTAGACAAAAATCAAAAAGAGTAATTTAGATAATCAAGTTTGAAAATCTTCCATTTAGATATATATACTTATGTATTAAATGTATCGGACAGTGGTGTTTATGATGGCCCCTCATCTATCATAACTATAACGTCTCCGAAATTGACTAGGACTTCCTTTACAAACTCAATAACAAGAGAAAAAATTATTTCTACTAGTTAACACCTAAACTCAGCATTCTAGTTACAATGTTACATTCCTATGATACATTTTGACACAAAATCACACACACACACAAAATCATTTTTAATATGGTTTATCAACTCAAGGATTGACCTAAAAGCAAATATTTGAATTTTGAAAGTCTATTCTTCTAAAAATTTATATTTTCTTCTTAAATGTTAACAATTTTTGTGTTTGACTAATTCATACGGAATTGTATTTTAATTTTAAATGAGATTTGCTAATGAATGATAAGATTAATTCTTTTGAACTAATTAGTCGAAAGTTCAATACTAAAATAATAATTTTTTAATCTAAATGACCTTTTCAATGTTCTTTATTATCAAAAATATTTTGTCAATAATATATTTTGACAATTTGTGTACTAAATTGAAAACTTCTCATTATCTTTCACACAAACAGTAGTGATTTTTCTAGTAATATTACAAGTTATTGTTAAGTGCATTAGGACCACTAACTTGATAACTCCACTGACTCTCCTCTTATCTAATTTAATTTAAAATTTCCAATTAATATTCTGAACGTGGTCGTGGATCATGCAAGTCCACATTTTATTTTTAAAAATAAAAATTAAGCTAGTTTATGGAGGGAAAATATAATGAATTGAAAGATTAGGGTTTGACTTCCACTACAAGTAATTATGAGAGTTCCAGTGGCGTCTTGTACACCAACTAATTTGTGGTCTTCATTGGATCACACAACTAACATAAAATCAATTAGTTGTTTATGAAAACTCATTAAGAAAAGTTGTTGTAATTGTTAAGCTTTTTGTTGGTCAACTAGTTGACTTATAGAATTACTTGGCTTAAATTGTACTACATCTTGTCTTTAAATCTTACTTCAATTAGAAAAATAGAAAAGTTGATATTGTTAAGTTAGATGCTATTCAATTTTGTATGTGTGAATTTTTAATAATAATTATCATTTTAGTCCTTTTTTATACGTGAATAAAACAGACATTGAATTTAGAACATATTTTTACAAAGGAAACATTTTGCACATTAGTTAATTAAACGTGCAATTTTATCTACATGTTGGTTTTCCACTAGTTCATAAGGCTTTATGTAGTGGACCAACAGTACACATTGACATTTCACCACCACAAAGATATGCACCATATTTTGACTCTACATTTGTGGGAACCCTAACTTTGCAATAATTTTAATTTATCAATAAATATTTCTTGTCATTAACATCTAATTTCTATATATAAAAAATGATTAGTATGCCAATTTTAATTCGACTGCTAAAAATTAAAAATATCAGGTTGAACGTCAGATAAGAAATTTAAAATCAAAAATATTTAGTTAAATATCACATAAGAGATTCGAATTGAAAATATTAGGTTCAGTGTTATATATGAGATTCGAATAGAGAGGAGTTCTAAGTATTTAGCTTATGAACTTTGTAATTCAAAATCTAACCCAATGATTGATCTCTCCACCTAACGCTAATAAGATTAGTATCTAAATTCTTTTGTCAAAAGCTTTAAGGCACGTACAAGGACCCTTCCAAGTTGTAGCAAGAAATGAATTGTAGAAAAGCTATCATTATACCTTAAAATCTTCTCCTCTTTTAGACAAAACTAACTTATCAAATTGATGTACAAAAGAGGAAGAAAAAGTAACTTGTCAAGCCTAATGACAGAATATTCTAAATGTAATATAAATAATTCAATAGTAGTGATCTCAACTCCATTTAAATCATTAAATTTTTTTATGAATTTTAATCTTTTAATAGATGAAAATAATTTATAAATATTTTATAAATAATTTTAAAATTTCGATGTTCAACTCATTCAAATTATATAGTATTATTTTTGTTCTTAAATACAAGACTCCGTTAAATTAATTGTAGAAATTAATAAAGTTTATTAGATTAATAAATTTATTAATTATTTTATATAATTTTATAAATTTATTTTTAGCAGAGAGAAATAGTTAATGTGTATGTAACTGTATTTATTATATATTGAAAAAATATGTAATATAATTAAAGATATATTTAAAAAACAATAATTAATACATTTTAAAAGTTGAAAATAAAACTTATGAAAAAAGACAAAAAAAAAATTCAAAATAGTCTTATTAACGTATTATCTTATGCAAAAAATTTATAAAAAGAAATTAAATGAAAAGTAATAAAAATTTCTAAAGGGACTTAAAGAGACTTTGAATACAATTAGGCAACTTTTCCATCAAGTTGGGCTTAAAGGTCCCCACATAGGATTAATGGGAAGAGAAAATGTTACAACTTCTTTTCTTTTAATAACAAACAAAAAAAAATGCACTCAGAAACTTTATGTGATAAATACAAGCACTACCTAGAGCCTTATATTAATACCTAAGATAAAGAATTAGTACTTCCATCTTCTTCAACAAAAAAAAAGAAGAAGAAAAACCTTTGTTTTCTCTCAAGAAATCAAAACCTTAGTATGTGGCCTCTTTTGAGAAACCTTAACAACACAAGAAAGAGTTCAAAGGTTGCTGATGAAAACATGTTCCAACAAGGAAACAATGTTGTTGAGGGAAGAGGAATAAGGAGACAACATCATGGTTGGGGGAATATAGTGTTTAGTATTCTTCAAGCTCCTATTTCAATACTTTCATGTGTTTCTCATCCTCAAGTTAATGGTTCTGATGGTGTTTGGGTAAGTGGTGGTGAATTTTCACAAATTTCTGAAATGAATCATCTTATGGTAAATGATAGCATGAGATATGCAATTTTGATGTAAATAACAATTGTGCTTGAATTTCTCTTTTGTTCTTCATTTTTACTTTATAGAGATTGAGTTGATCTACCAAGGTTATGTCCTAGTCTTGTCTTTTGTTTTGATCAATGTAAATTTTTTTATGCCATTTTTAATAAATAGGTATGTATATTTGGATAGACATGAAAATATTAATGAAATTCCCCTTTTCCTTTTCTCTATATTATTTCTTTATATTCACTTTTATATATATATATATATATATATATATATATATATATATATATATATATATATATATATATATATATATATATATATATATATATATATATATATATATATATATATATATATATATATATATATATATATATATATATATATATATATATATATATATATATATATATATATATATATTAAATCGAAATTCTTTGTAATTGAAACGGTAACAACTATTAAAAATTATTTGTAATTAAAAATTATGAATTTAAATCCGATAGAAAATATTCGATTTAATAATATTTTTTATCGATTGAAATTAATATTTATTTCTACGGAGATAAATAGTTTTTATTGCTAATTTTAATAGATTTATTTATTTATAATATTCTTACTAATTAATATTTTATTTTATTCTTCCTTTTGAATAAGTAGGTAAAAAAGTTATAAAATACTATTAGATATTCTTGCTTTAAATTTTAAATTAACAAGGAAATTTGAGCACACCTTATATACTTCTCAATGGGTTTTCTATATGATCAAATCTATTATTAATATAGCAATTTTATGTTTTTGGAGAATGATGTAAATTAATTGAAATTTATTCAAGATAAACTAAATAAAAATTATACTTAATTATAATTTAACTGTCATAATATTTTATTTTAATTATAGTTTAATCAAGATAAATGTTGAGTTTTAAATAATAATTTATTTTTTTGACTTATTATCACTGATATATCTAATTTAGATCAATCACTATTGAATTAATTAACAATTGATAAATAATAATTTATTTTACATACTCTCAAAAACGTTTATGATTATCAATAGTACATTTTCATATAAAATATATTATAAAAATTGCGTAATAAAATTGGGTTTAAGTCATTATTTAAATAGAACTTTAAGCCATTATTACATTTACAAAATCCATAGTTTTGAGCTTAACTACATTAAAACTACAATTATTTTCAAAAGGCAGTTTTATAAAATTAATTTTTTTTACTACAAATGAAATTAATTTAATAGATTAATTTATTAGGTAGACTTGTGAGCCACGATTTGTATTGGAATAATCTTTATTTTTTAATTTACTCCCATTATTAATTTGACCAAAATAATTGACTATTGAGACCTAATTAGTCTTTTATATAAAAGTTTGTTGGATAAAGAAGACAATTATGTTAAAGGGGTTTGTTTGTGCTGTTTGCAACAATGATACCAACTTGCCAAGTTGAAAGAAACCTCAGTAGAATGCGGCAAAAGAAAATGACTAAAATAGGAAATGGGTAGCAATAATTCAACTTATTTACACTTTAATTAGCTAGTGTTTACTATGTTAATTAAGGATATAAAATACTAGCATGAAAAGATTCTCTTTTGTTGTCATGTGATTTTGCTCTGATTTTATTCTAACAAGTAGTTATATCACATGATTTTCTAGTACTCAATATTAATTAGGGGGATAAACACAAGTCAATGCAAGATTTATTATGTTATCCCTCTTATTTGAAATGACTTAAATGAATGTGGATTAGTAGTTCATATGAGTGTAAGTCTGGGTAATTATTCGATAAAGAGGAATACGATTAATGTGTGAAAAACAATAAAAGAAAAGAAGAGAAAAGAGTAAAAAATACAACGGTCACAATTGCCGCAATCTATTTTCAGCTCCGATCAGTCTTACGAAACTAGAGTTTTTTCACAAATCAATGGCCGGATTGTTCTAAAATTTTGGCACAATATTCTTCACTTATAGGAATAAATTTTGAATGGTGCAGATCGGATTCTGAGTTTTCTAAGTCTGTCTATCGAGTCTATTTGTCATGAGATTTTGCTTTGACTTTATTCTAATAAGTAATTAAATCACATGATTTTCTAGTACGCAATATTAATTAGGGGATAAACACAAGTCAATGGGAGATCTTTTCTGCTATCCCTCCTATTTGGAATGACCTAAATGAATGGGTTTAGTAGTTCATATGAGTGTAAGTCTTTGTTATTATCCAACAAAGAGGAATATGATTAATGTGTGAAAAACATCAAAAGAAAAGAAGAGAGAAGAGTAAAAAACACAACGATCGCAATTCCCGCAGCCTATTTTCAGCTCCGATCAGTCTCACGAAATCCGAGTTTTTTCACAAATCAACAGTCAGATTGTTCTGAAATTATGGTACAATATTCTTCACTCATAGGAATAAATTCTGAACGGTGGAGATCAGATTCTGAGCTTTCTAAGTTTGTCTATCGAGTCCATTTGTGATGTGTGAATTTCTTGGTGTTTTTGGGTTGTTTGTCTCCCTTGATTCTTGTTGTATTCCAAGATTGATTATAGATTTTGATGGTGTTAATGTATTGTCTCTCACTAGTGTTAGAGAGAATCTTGCTTATACCCATTGTTGATTATAGGGGAGATATTAAGTGGCCTACGGGTCCCGAGGTTTTTTCATACTAAAGTTGTGTTGTGTTGTTTGGTGTGTTTTTTTTGTTGATTGTTGTTGCATTTGGTATTTGGGAAGATATTGTGTTATTGAATTATTTTGTTGCATTTGTGATTCCCTCCCAATAATTAGTATCTAGAGTCATGGTTTGATTTGTGTAACGATGGAGACAAACACATCTAAGATGGTGAGTTTGAATGGTTCCAATTATAACGTTTGGAAAGGAAACTGGAAGATTTGCTTTATGTGAAAGGTTTTCACTTGCCGATTTTCTCTAATGAAAACCCCGATGAAAAGAGTGATAAAGAATGGACTTTATTGCATAGACAAGTTTGTTTTTATATACGTCAATGGATGGATGATAATATTTTGAATCATATGATCTCGATGACTCACTCTCGCTCTCTTTGAACCAAACTTAAGGAGTTGTATGCAAGAAAGACTGAAAACAATAAGTTGTTCTTGTATAAGAAATTGGTGTCATTGAATGGGTTAGCCGAAAGAATGAATAGAACTTTGGTGGAAAGGGTGATATGTTTAATTTCTCAATCAAAGTTGTCGAAATAACTTTGGGGAGAAGCATTGAGCACGATTGTACATCTTTTAAACCTCACTCCATGTGTTCCGTTTTATGTTCAAAATCATGTTTGGAGTGGTAAAGATGTTTCCTACGACCATCTTCGGGTGTTTGGGTGCATCGCTTATGTGCATATTCTGAAGAATGAGAGATCGAAATTGGATGAGAAGTCGAAGAAATGTGTGTTTGTTCGGTATGGACTTGATGAGTTTGGGTATCGATTCTTTGATTCGGTTCAATGGAAGCTTATTCGTAGTCGTGATGTCATATTCATGGAGGATTATACCATTGAGGACATTGTCAAAGTTGAGAATAAAGATCTGAATTTTGAAGACAATGAAATAGTTGATACTGACTTAACTATTATTTCCCATACCTCTATAACCTTGGAAGATGTTCCAATTGAAAATCAAGGTATGGATTTGAATGTTGATAATGTTTAAAATCCTAATGATATTGTTGATGTAGGTGCTACGGAAGAGGTTTTTAAAAATGAGGTTGATCAAGAGGTTGGAAGTGTTGAGAAACCGGTTGCTTCTAATGAGTTGAGGCAGTATACTCGTGATAAAAGGCCTTCTGTTTGATACCCCTCAAACGAGTATGTTTTTCTTACCGATGGTGCATAACCCTAAAACTTTAAAGAAGTTTTAGAGGATGAGAACAAAAAGGAGTGGATAGATGCCATGAAGGATGAAATGCAATCACTTCGTGAGAATAATACCTTTGAGTTAGAGAAGTTGCCAAAGGATAAGAGAGCATTGAAGAATATATGGGTTTATCAGATTATGCAAGATAAGTGTACTTTTCAAAGAAGATACATGGCTCGCTTGGTGTTAAAAGGTTTTAAACAACGAGAAGGAGTTGAATTTGGCAATATTTTTTCTTCGACTATGAAGATGAAATCTATTTGAGTTGTTTTTGGGATAGCCGCTAGTATTGTTTTGGAAGTAGAACAAATGGAGGCGAAGACTACTTTCCTTAATGATGATCTACTTGAAGAAATTTACATGGAGCAACCATATGGATTCTGAGAGAAGGGTAAATAAGACTATGTCTGCAAATTGGTAAAAAGTATTTATGGTTTGAAACAAGTACCTCGCCAGTGGTATCAAAAGTTCAACTCGGTGATGATTGAACATGGGTACAAGATGACCAAGGCTGGTCATTGTGTGTTTTTTCGAAATTTATCCAAAGGTGATTTTATTATTCTCTTGATTTATGTGGATGATATGTTAATTGTTGGAAAGAATATTTCAAGAATTAAATAGTTCAAGAGCAGTTTGAGTGAATATTTTTCTATGAAGGGTTTAGAAGAGGCTCGGAAAATTCTTGGTATTGAAGTTGTTCGAGATAAAAATGAGAAGAAGTTGTACTTGTCACAAAAAATGTATATGGAGAAATTCCTCCGGCCTTTTAGTATGGATAAGGATAAAGTGGAAATCATTCCACTTTCTTATCATTTAAAGCTTAGTTATAAACTATGTTTATATATAGATGAAGAAAAGTTGAGTATGAAGAACATTTCATACTCGTCGGTCATTGGTAGTTTGATGTATGTTATGGTTCGTACAAGACCTAATATTGCTCATGTCGTGGGAATGGTAAGTCGTTATCTCTTAAATATGGGAAAAGATTATTGGGAGACCGTGAAGTGGGTGATGAGATATTTGTGTGGCTCGTCGAATTTAAAGCTAACCTTAGGATGAAAGAAGCCTATGTTGGTTGGGTATACGAATTTGGATATAGTCGAAAGCTTAGATGATCGAAAATCAACTTTG